ACGGAGGAGAGGATGCATGGACGAACGCAGGGACGGACGCACAGATGGACGTGCGGACGCACGAACAGACGCACGGGTGGCCACACAGACGCACGCATGGACGGACGGAAGCAAGAACGAATGGATGCAAGGATGCTTCGCCCCACTCTCAATCATTCAGTCCGTGGATATGCTGCCATTTTTTTTTTTCGCTGTGTCACTGTTATGGTCCCTGACTGACTGCAGTTACGCTACACCTGGTAAGCGGTGGTAACGTAGATTGTTTGTAATGGAGAAGCGACATGCTTCTTTCGCGTGCATGCGGACAGAGACCAAAAACAGGAATTCGTGCTTTTTTTGTTTTTGTTTCGCCGACAGCTACTGCGGTTGTCGACGAGACAGCTAACCAAGCTCATTTTGCTTGGAAAGAGACCACTAGAAGCTAAGCATAGTAGAGTTACTGTACAGACTATTTTCCGCAAGACATCTGGACGCCGTCATTTTGAGCTGTTAAAATGATATTTCCTTCTTTTTGCATAATTTGATGTGAATTATATAGTAAGACTACGAAACATCGTACGAACCAACTGGCCCCCTACACTGGCTCTTCCAACCCAACAGTTTTCATGCACATGCGTCTACCATAACACTTCGTTTAGTCGTCAAAGATACAGAACACAAAGGTTAACAGGCCAATATGGCGGCACTCCAGACCATCGTAAAATGGTCTACTTGCTGCCTTTTCACGCAGGGGGGATGGCACGGGAGAAAGAAGCAGCGTCACACGCACGTCACGATTTTGAGCCCTTTTAAAGACGATTGCCTTTCTTAGGATACTTCGACGCAGAAATTTGGTCAGTCTGTCTGTGCTTCCTTCTGTTTCGGTCTGTCACTCGATTCAGCCACCGGGGCGAAAAGCTTAACCCCTTGCTGAGCGACCACCCATCTTGATCTACTGGTAACGCTCATACTACTGAACATTGTCAATTAAACAGTAAATATTACGCATATTTGGGCGCATCATCAACAGGTGAGTATTATGTAATGTTTTATTTTATTTTCAAAATGCATATATACTTAATTCTTAAGACCGCAGTGCGTATTTCGCTGCCCTGACAACGCGACGCTATGAACGAAAAAGCGGGCGTTTCATACGTTCCACTAAAACTATATGGTGCTGCCACCTACCAGTGGCTTTGCATTCTAGAAAAGCCGTTTCTTCAAATTACTGCTATATGGCGTCCGTATCTGACAGAGCGCCTACGTCGCCTGCAGACCTTGTCTTACCCCAATCCATACATACTGTCCCAAGATAGATCCCGACAGATACGCACTACAGTGCAGGTTTTGCGTCACTAGAACAGCCACCCTGTACCACATGGTATGGGAATGCCCGCCCAATCCACCTCTACAACCCAGAGCACAGCACAACACTGTATAGGGTGGGAGGCAGCTCTGTCCAGCTAAGATCCGAAGACCCAAGAGGCCCTCGTGAGACGAGCGAGGACAGCGGCCCGTGTCAATGGGATCCCGTACTAAGAAACCTACTCACCGACATTCATTCCTCGGCCGCAAATAAATGTTTTGTCCTCTCTCTACTTCACATATCTTTTTGTGCAGAACGTCGAATAACTGTTTTATTATCTGCCTCTACAAACAAAATACTTTTGAGGACTTTTTTTTTTTTTTTGGCGACGACCGCAATTTTTTTTTCTTCGAACGCGCAGCTTACTTTGCGTGTGATTGCGAGCGAGCGCGCGGATACGTAGCGGCCTCCCACGGTGGCCGCAGAAACTATGCAGCCCACGATGGTCAATGCAGCCAATGGCCGCGAATTCAACTACACAGTGCGGTCATTTGGGTATATGGGTATACATTCTGCATCCATATTCAATATAGTGGCTACACGCCGTAAACGTTGTAAAAACGTTCCGGTCGTTCCGACGCGACAGGCATGCACAACGCTAACTGTCCAGGAAACCATGAGCGCTGTGAAATTGCGGCAAGCGTCAACGCGCAACTACTTGCACGCGAGATAATATTAAAGTAGCTCTACTTCTTCTTATTAGGCATGCGCCTATGAAGTTTAAGTGCAAACGTATCTGGCCCAGAGTTCAAATGAGGCCATGGGAACATTTTAACTGCGTCTGTGTGACGCCACTCACGGCTAAGCGCATTTAAACTCCCTCCGATCACGTGAGCTTTAGACTCTCCTCATGTCAGTTGATCCAAATCGCGAAGGATTAGCTTATGAAGTGTTGTATACGTAACACGACGCTAAAGGGAAACACTCCATCGATATAGGTTGATACACTGCACTCTCAGAACCTCAATGTCGTTAATTTCACCATCATATGATTATTGACAAAGAAGAAAATGAAAGCCAAACTTTCATCTTTACATTTCGCGCCGAAATATCCACGTGAGACGTCGACGATTTCAAACGGTATTTTTCGCAGTTTAGCGACAATGGCACCATCCAATTTCCAGAAACTCGGTATGTCTATGGCCCCCTCGCAGCGCAACCCGATGTAGTTCATTTTCATCGATTAGCAACTGCCTATGACCTAGCCGACGCCGTCAAAGTCTACGAAGTCAAGGCGTTCGGTGCGGTAATTTCAAGGTGGCGCCACCAGCCACATATTTTGTCCGCGCGCTTTCCCACTTACCGAGCGTCTGCACGCGGTAAAAGTGCAGTTTTTGGTATTGATGATTTGTAATTTTCTCACGCTGTAAAACTCGTTTTTCTCTTCGGTGTTCCTTCAAAGGTAAGCACTTGGCGTTAGCGAGTTACTGCCCAAGAAAGTGGCATTATAGACGAGCGAATATGGTGGTGCCCTCTACTCAAGCCCCGTGTCGCAACTGCTGGCGCCACGAAACGACAACCACGGGACACCCTTGCCGCTTCGGTCCGTTTTCGCTGAGCACCACCACCGCCTCTTCTTCGAGTTTGCGCTGCCGTCAGCTCAGCTGATCGCGGCGGGAGAGGAGGGCCAACCGGTTCGCCCGACGTACTTGACCAACGCTCACTCGGGGGTCACTTTGGCGACCCCCGGCCGCTCCTTTGTGAGCGAGAGGCAGCGCTAGCTCAACTGAATTGAACTTCGAAAACGAAAAGCGGTTACGCATTAAAGCACGATCTCACAACAACTTACCACAAGTTCCTAATGCTTTCACTAACACTTCGCTTACTAACAGCAAATTCAGTTGTTTTCATGGGAAGTCCTAGTGTCTTGCACAACGGGCACGGGCATCTTATATCGTGTCCTTCTTGTCTCTGTGTCGTCGTTTTGTTCTCGCGCTATAACTATCATCATGTCATACCAACTAGCCCAAGCTGCCACACTTCTAAGCAGGGTACAGTAAAGTATTAGCGATGTACTCACAAGAACAAAACAATATCCAGACGTAGAGGAAGCACGAGAAGCAATGGAACGTATAGAGGTTAACCAGGCGCACGTCCGGTTTGCCACCTTGCTCCGAGGGAGAGAGATGAATAACGCGAAAAGTAACAAAACAAAAAAGAGATTGACAGAATCAGGTGCACACTTCGGGGAGCACGTTAGCGCCTGCCTGCCTGCGTGTTTTGTTTCTTACATGAACCGCGCAAATACAGGCGACGACTACGGCTGATGAACCCGCTCGAGGAGCTATCCTTCTGTACAACCATTGACCACCCGATGTGACTTGACGAAATCCTAACCCTAATAACACCCGAGCTTACAAATAAGACAGCATATCAAGGAAGAAGATGCTGACGGCCTGTCATATTTCGGGATATGGCATGCTGTTATTACCCTAACGTCTGTCGCGCAGCTTTTTCGGAGGGCCGGTGGGGCCAAGTGGTTTCTGTGGTACCGTAACAAACTTACGGCGTTGCTTCAAGGACATTTTCTTTTGACGACCCGTCTTTCTGCGGTGCTACTGCAAATCTTTGCGGTAGTACTTCGATTCTCTGTTGTTGCTTACCCGTACAAATCGGGATAGTTTGTAGCATAGGATACCACAGGTTGCTAATGCGGATGTCGTTCACTAAGAGAAAATTCAGTTGTTTTCATGGGAAGTCCAAGTGTCCTTCAACACTGGCACGGAGAGCTGATTTTCTCTGTGTCGTGTTTTTTTTTTCTTTTTGCATTCTGCCTCCAAACAAACAAAAAACAAACAGAAAAACAGCTGTGTCCCGGAAACGAGCGGCCACAGTTCAAACCTGCGCAACCTGAGGCCAAGCAGGCACGGGAGGATGAATTTTTATTACTTCACCTGATTTTAATATAATCCGTTAAGTTAGCGTTGTAAAGACCAAGCAGAGACCAGCACATTCGAGAAATCGTCGTAGGTTTTCCCGCCATGTCACCAGGCTCGGTTTGCGCGTACACGCAAGATACAGCCATGCGGTAGCTAACAGTACCAAACTGTTGACATCTGCAGCCATTTATCCATCTATCTCGATGTAAGCTTTGCATAGCGAGCGAGAAAAGGGAGAGACCCTCTGAATCAGTAATAACGTACAACCCTCGAGCCACGTTCGACTCGCACTGAGTTTATGGAGAGTTTCCGTGGGCTTTACACTTATTGTAGGTTAATGACGTGTCTCCCCCAGCAGTCGATCGCTTTGGCAGCGGAGAGTGCGTTCATAAGGAGAGAGATTATAAGACGGAGCATGCATACGTTGTTGCTTTTCCTTTCTTTTTACACTACGCTCGCTGAGGATTCGCGAAAGACGACGCAGTGTAAGTCGTCAGCGTAAGTCGCAAATGACTCCTGACGTCATCGACTGAGGAGCCCGAGATTACGCCGATCGCTCCAGAAATGTGCTACACAATGAGTCCCCTGAGCGTTCAGAAGACTGAGCTCGTTCTATGTGTGATATCCTCGTCCTCATTGTTCACGCTGTCATAAGAACGGTGTCAAAGATGAAGCAACACGCATAAATCGAAGCGCGTCGTTTCTCGTTGTCAATGTCTCAGCGCGCAGGGACGAAGCTAGGAAATAGGTCGTAAGTAGGAGCGGTACGAACTCACCAGGTTGTGAACCACTGCAGGTGTGAGGCGGAAGTGCGTCGGTGTGTCAGTCTCAAGTCGAGCCGATATCCTCGCGCTTGTCCTCAGTGTCGATCACTTCTTCCGCAAACAGAAGAGACTCATCGACCGACCTCGCACAGCCGTACGCTTCATACACACAGTCAGGTCGGTGAGCGCGGCGATCCCCGACGGCAGTAGTAGTAGTTGCAGTAGTCGCCACAGCGGGAGCGCTGCCTCGCTAGTTTTCCGGACGCAAGCACTGCAAAACAGATCCACGAAGAAGGAAACGTCGATGTCACGGACGACAGCTGCCACCAAAGCACCACCGATACATGAAAAAACAAAACAAAAGCACACTCGGGAGAAGCGTTTAACAGCTATAAAGGGCAACAACGACACTCCCGGCAAGGCTAACAACACACACATGCACTGCAACGTTTTTGGGCCCAGTCGCGCAGAAGGACGCCAACAACAACGCAGTCGCAGAGCGCACAGTTCGGCGCGCGCCGGTCCGCGCCACGACTACGCACAGCTGAGACTGACTGGTCTGCGCGGGTTGGAAGCGGGGCCACTGAGAGGAGAAAGAGAAACGCACTGAAACGCTCTCTCGCCTCAATTCTCTCACCAGTACCTCCGCATTCTCCTCACTCTTAACCGTAGCAAAGGAGGGGGGGCTTCCCTCGTCACCTGACCCAGTCTGGCTTGCGTCACGCGTGACGTCACGAACGAGGCAACAGCGACGCGGCGGCGATCGCCAGCTGATGGCCTCGGCGATGAAGTGGCGCGAAATTCGCGCTGCTTTTAAATAGAGATCTACCTGAGGCGGGAAAATAAAAAGAGCTCGGTGATTAGCATAAGCCCTCGGATGATTAAAATCGAGGCGTATATAAACCGCGAGTAACGCATGGATAATGTCACTGAAAGCTTTCAATGTGTGTTGTTTTATAGAAAAAAACAACAAAAGTTGCTTTCAACAACAGACAACAGATACGGAATGCTTTAGTCACTGTGCCGCTGCGAAAGAAAGAAATCCCTAATATGTTATTAGCAATTTATAATTTTGTTCACTCTTATCTAACTGTCAGTGCGAACATATGTACCCTTTGGTACAGCCGTCACGTCGGTTTAACGTCATTGTAGTTGGGCGCCGTGCGCTGGGGTTGATTTATGTAGCGGTGTCTAGGCCTACCATCCTCGCGAGCTACAGCGCTTCATATCAGCGTATCGTTTCTGGTGTTGCTAATACTCATGTTCCTCTTAATATCGTTGCGCAAGTGAAAACTGGTTTTAGAAACATACGCAATTGTTCAACATCTGTCTGCGTGTGTAGCATTTATGAATAATAACATTGTAGTTTTGCGACGTAAAACCACAGATAGTAACATTACATTATGCGAGTCTGAGGCGCGTCGTTCTGACGGCTTCGGAAATTTAGACCATGTCTTGATATTTAACGTCCATTCACATCGCGCGGTAGACGGGCCTGTATCACTTCACGTGCATCACACCACGGCTTCCACCTAAATGCGACCGTCATGACCGGGATCAAAGTGTCACTCGAGGATATCACTTTTGCCACTGCCACTCAGTGTTTCCAAACGTGTCGCGAAAAAAAAAGAAAATAAGGAAGTCTATAGTGCTTTTGTCATGCAGAAACTCGACGACTACCACCCTACACCACTAAATATTCTAATCTAATCACTTCATATTATTGTGAGCCTTTCTACTACAATACATTTTCGTCACTCTTCTTTTTCTTTCCTTTTTTTTATCCCCGAATCTGTTATTGCAAGACCTTGGCGGTTATCTGTGGTACGAAAAACGTGGAAACACTGAACAGGACTTGGTTATCTTTCGCGACCAGAACCAAATCTGCTCGCGTTTTGGCCCTAAAACTCCCTAATCAACACTATCGCCCGTATCATTCGAAATGCCGAAAATACGGTTCTTTTTCAAAACTCAAGACGATTTGCTTATCTTTTCTGTTTCTATTTGATTGATTGATATGTGGGGTTTAACGTCCCAAAACCACCATGCGATTATGAGAGACGCCGTAGTGGAGGGCTCCGGAAATTTTGATCGCCTGGGGTTCTTTAACGTGCACCCAAATCTGAGCCCACGGGCCTACAACATTTCCGTCTCCATCGGAAATGCAGCCGAGATTCAATCCCGCGACCTGCGGGTCAGCAGCCGAGTACCTTAGCCACTACAACACCACTCTTTTCTGTTTCTAGGCGCATTTAAACACTATGAATTATCACTGAAAATATAAAGGTTCCTTAGTTCACTATCCAAACTCAAATATCCTATCAAAGAGCTTTTTGTAAATGTGTTAATGCCCATGCCCACCACATTGCTCACGTCTACTTCTTGTCGTTTTTGTAGACCTCTTGTGGCTCATAACCACTGTGGAGGGTTGGTCAATAATAAAGTGTGTTTATAAAAAACTTATTCAATATCAGAGTCAATGAAGGTATAAAACCAAGGTATCTCTTGGATTATCCGAGCGTGATGTTTCTAATAAGTTTTGCACAATGCTGACTGGAACTGGACAATTGGTTCACAACACTACTGCACAGCCTAGTTCTGTAGAGCAGCAAATCCAAGATGCATACACTTTATCACATGCTCAACTGGATAACACGTATTCTCTACTAGAGTTGCGTACTGCTCTATCACTAACTCGCGTAAGAACGGCAACCGGTCCCGACAACGTTTCGTACAGTGTTCTGAAAAATCTAGGACCCAACGGCATGCCAGTTTTTCTACGGATATATAACAACATGTGGACAAAGGCGTACGTTCCAATGTGTTGGAAGGTCGCGAGAATCGTCCCACTACTGAAGCCCAGTAAATCACCGCTTTCGCTTGATTCATTCCGACCAGTCAGCCTCACTAGCTGTGTATCTAATGTAATGGAAAAAATGGTTGACAGAAGATTACAGTGGTGGATTGAAGCCAACAACTCTCTTCCAGAACAGATGGCTGGCTTCAGACGACGGCGATGCACCATGGACTGCGGCTTCGACTTCGTTACATTTGTAGAACATGAGATGAGCTGTGGAAACATGGCTGTTGCGGCGTTCACAGATATTAAGAAGGCGTTCGACTCCGTGAGCCACCTTTCTGTGCAGCACGGGCTTGCCTCACTAAAGATTCACGGTCGTATCCTTCAATGGATCGCCATTTTCCTATGTAAAAGACAAATATACATTTCAACCAATAACGGAGACAGCTATCGCTTCAACATGAGCAGAGGCGTACCCCAAGGAAGCGTTCTAAGTCCGCTTCTTTTCAATGCTGCAATGGCAGGTCTTCCAGAAGTACTGCCCGAAGCCTTGAACATATCCATGTATGCAGACGACATATGCATATGGACGTCTCACAAATCACTGGAAGTGATCGAACTTCGTCTTCAACAAGGACTAGACGCAATAAGTGATTACCTCAAAGAGCGAGGCATGCAGATTTCTCACGCCAAATCTGTAGTTCTGCCATTCACGAGAAAAAGAGTGAAAAACTTGATGCTTTTTGTGGATGGCCAGAGAATCAAAATTGCACGAAAGCATCGCTTCCTTGGCGTTACCTTAGATAGTCAACTCAGATGGAGTCGGCATATTGCTGATCTACAAAATCAAGTGAACAGCCCCATAAATGTTATACGTCGCATCGCGGCAACAAAATGGGGCGGTACATCAGCGTCTCTCCTCCACGTCTATTGTGCACTAATCCGACAGAAAATTGCCTACTCTGCGCCAGTTCTCCACAACACCTCTCAGACGTCGCTACACCGACTTGAGCTGTTACAAGCACGAAGCTTACGCATATGTCTGGGGGTTCCACAGGCAACATTAAGTTCTTTGACACTGGCAGAGGCAAGAGAACCCAACTTTATAGTAATTGGAAATGTGGAGACATGTCGGCACCTCTTTCGTCTAGTCACGCAACACCCTTCCCATCCGCTCATATCCAACATCGTGAACCGTGCTGGAGCGCAAATACACCATGTGTACCAACAGTACATTTCCCGGCTTCCTGTGTCGACACATTGGCCACTGGACCAAAACTACCCTCCATGGCTGCTTGAACTACCAACTATTGAAACGTCAATAGAAGGACTTCGCAGCAAACATGAAGTGCCAGCCGCTGCCGCTCAGCAGTTGACATCACATCATGTGTTTGACAGGTACCAAGGATACACTCATGTGTACACTGACGGCTCCGTCACCAAAGAGACAGCGACATCAGCATTCATAATTCCGGAATTGCACGAAGAATGTGCATGTCGGTTGGGCTACTTCTCTTCTTCAACAACGTCAGAGCTCGTAGCGACTTTGCTAGCCATATGCTTTATTAAACTGTCAACGACACCAAGAAAATGGGTGGTAATTACAGACTCTCTGGCAGCACTGGCATGTGTGGAAAGTGCCACTTCAAGACACATTGATGTGCGTATAGTATGCGCTATACTTAAAGAGCTCTCAGAAGCTACGAAGTCGAATCATCGAGTGGCATTTGAGTGGGTTCCCAGTCACTGCGGAATCAAGGGAAATGAAATGGCGGATGAGTTGGCGAAAACCGCTCATAATTCTATGCAAACGTGCCTCATTCCGGTATCTCAATATGAGGTAAATATAACTTTAAGAACAACAAAACGTGAATTATGCCTGTCTACCTGGTTGCCAGACAAAACAAAGGAATCGATCCTATATTCTGATGATCCTAATCTTGAATACCAATTAGACCATGACCTCCCAAGACGTATCGACACACTCATTCATCGCCTACGACTCGAAACTGCTTACACAAAGCACTTCCTACTTCGTATTCATCGTGCAACATCGTCAGCATGTTCATGCGGCCAGGATATCTGTCACCTATTGCTCGACTGTCCGAAACACGACACACACCGAAGGCGACTAGAACAAGAACTGCATAGGTTAGATCCTGAGCGACCATTCGGGTTGAATAAAATACTAGGTCCATGGCCATCCGAAACAAACGGCAAAGCAATGAAGGTGCTGCAACAGTTCTTCGAAGAAACGAAGATTTGTGACGAATACTGAGCGGACAAACGTTAAATGTGAGCGTGTCGTCTACGTGTTTGTTCTGCCCATATAGGAGAACTTTTTCACCCATGTAGGACTGTATATATGTACATATGCTATTGTTTTTTCTTCATATCTTCATTTGTACCAATTAAGTGGAAAGGGGTAGCCGTCGCCAAGTAACGTTGACAAAAACTCCTTCGTTTACTAT